TAAAAAACAAACAAAAAGGTTACTGCACGGTACCCTCATATGTCCACTTGTTTAGAAAATTGTTGAAACACTTGTATTGAATACAATACAATAGGTTGAAGTATTACAGCCCAGTCACATCTCCAGTGAAATGCTAAGGTGGCTTTTGAGCCACATCCACAGAGAATAGCTCTGAGGGGACATGTTGTGTATCTCTCACCCCTCCTTCAGCTGGGATCCTGACTTGGGTGTGCGGGAAAGGAAATGTGTACCAAAGACCTTCACAGTCACATTTCTTCTAGTGTGAGCAGAACTCCAGGGCATTCATTAAGCCTAAAGACAGATCCCATCTTTTCAGAAGGCACAACAAGGAGAGAATTAGCATACTTAATTAATGCTTCTGATGAATGGCTTTGTAAAGTTTCTTAATTAACAAATGTGCCCTCAGGGGCAGGGAAACTGGGTCTTAAACTGAGGTTTGTTTTTAACGTTTTATTGTGCATTTAGTTAGCATAACCAGGAAATCTGTTGATTATTGTTTTTCTGAATCATGCTTTTCTTGAAGATTTCTTAGATAGGGAAGGATGACAAGAGATAAGAAGGTCATTTGTTTATTTTTAAGACATATGTTCTCCATGTTTCTCACTGTTTTTGTTTTTCCCTTGGACTACCAGGCTTCAATAAAAACTTCCATATTTTTTGAGATACCTCCATCCAGCACCTGAAGCTGTGAAGATGATGCTCCAGTGAGCTTACTCAAACCAGACCCTACAGGCCCTGTTGTCCTATTGGTGGTTGTGAATTTCAGCCTTGCCAACAAAGTCTTCCATATGATTGAGGTAGAGCAGGACCAAAGTAAGGTGCTTTCTGTTCCTGAAAAAAAAAAAAAACAGCCATAGCCCACATATATGTTTGTCAGCGACAGTGTGTGAGTAACAGGCTGTTGCTTAGACCTGAGGATCAGGAACCCCTTTCTTTGAAGGTCTTTTAACTCTTCCCATTCCTCTTATGGTGGGGGTTATAATTGTCAGAGTTATGTATGCTGCAAGGGAGAGGGGAAAATCCAGCTTGCAAAGTAGTTATTGTCTAATTCTGTGCCAAGTAAATCTCTGAATTCTGTGATCTGTATAAATAATGTAAATTAAATATATGCATATATGCTTGGTTTGCATAATTCTGCTTCTGCAAGTCGTAAGAGAGGGCAAAGAGTTGTACACACTTTTCATGTTTATATTTGCAGCTTCAAAGTCTAGAAATTTGTCTGGGGACAATGAATTACTCAGGCCAGCTAGGGAAGCTACGGCTGAGTGGTCTGAGTTTTCTAATCTAGGCCGTTAGTCTGTCCTGTGGACCACATTACTGTTTCCTACGGGTATAGATAAGAAAATTAAAGTACTGTATGCTGGAGGCATTCTGTATTGTGTAAAGCTGTGCAAGGAAAAGATTTGGATCTTTGCTGGTTGTAGAATGTTAATTTGTTATGTAACACATTGGAAAACATTCTCCCTCAGTAACTTGTTACTTTTAATTTTTTTTTGGGGGGGTGGCTTATGTTTTCATAGAGTGTAGCCCATTTCATGATAAATCCACAGTAGTTTATGTCAAATAAAATGTGCTACGGTACCATGAGACTCCATGTTGTTTTCATTGCTACAGACTAAAACAGGTGCCTTTCACCTTAGAAAAATATGACTTTATTATTTTTCTCACTGAAGTGCTTGTTTCCTTTTCATTCATTTTTAGTTTCCTTTCTGAAATAAAATTTTATTTAAAAGGTGAAAACTGCAAATAGTTTGTGGCACCTTGAAAACTAATAAACTTGTTTTGTGTTTAATAGCCCATTTTGCCCAAAGCTAATGTCAAATAAAACACTTTAGTTTTTAAATGTCCAAGACTCCTTGTTGTTTTTGCTACAACATATTAACATGGTTACTCCCTGGTAATGTCCAGATGAGTAAGAGAATGGCCCCAGTTTGGAGGGGGGAAATCCCTTAAAATATCCCCAAAGCACTGTTCGCCTTATAAAAGTAACAGTTAAAAAATTACTTTCTGTATACAAAAAGAAAACATTACCGGTCATTGCCTTTTATAGGGATAAGAATACGTATTGTTATGTTATCATTACTGCCAAAAGTGAAGTGTTACAGGAAATCCTGTTACGTACTTTTGGAAGCAAGTTGTCATAAGTTAAAAAATCTCTGTAGACCTCCCTACCTTCTGGAAACGTGACGTCTGTTCTACACTGTTCAATAGTGGGTGCATTCAGATCTGATCCTGCAACCAGTGGTTTCAGACAGTTTGCATAGCTAACAAGCTGATGAAACTTATTTTAGTTATAAGTACCTGTATTGTATGGGTTTTTTTTTAAATATAAGTCCTCTAAATTGTAGGAAGAATACCTTTATATTAGAAATTGTCTTGCAAAGAGAAGCTAGTTGGTATTTGGCTGTGGAGCCAAAGGTTGGGAGTTCAATACCCCTCCAGTGGTTTCAGACAGTTTGCATAGCTAACAAGCTGATGGAAACTTTTTTAGTTATAAGTACCTGTATTGTATGGGTTTTTTTTTAAATATAAGTCCTCTAAATTGTAGGAAGAATACCTTTATATTAGAAATTGTCTTGCAAAGAGAAGCTAGTTGGTATTTGGCTGTGGAGCCAAAGGTTGGGAGTTCAGTATCCCTCTGTGCTTCCTTGATAGCGGCTGGACTTGATAATCCATAGAGTTCCTTCCAGTTCTGCAGTTCTCAGATGATGGTGATAAACCAGGGATGATCCAAAACATGGGTGTACTGGTAGAATAAAGTAACCACAACAATATGTAAAAATAAGACCTTACCTAATTTATTTCTGTTGCACTTCTGTCTCTGAAATTAACTGAAACAACTCTGTATATCACGTGGCATCATGATGAGATGCTAGCCCTATTTGTTGAAGAGTTTTGAATTTCTGGTAAAATTCTCACAGTAGACATACAGAGATTTACAGAAGGGAATAACTATAAGTTGACCAGAATCTACTCCTTTTTCTTTAACTGGCATTTAAAGTCTCAGTTACTTCCTCTGAGACATGTGGAAGAGAAATATTTTTTTAAAAAAATCTTTACTTACAGCTGCTTGAAAGTACAGACTTACATCTGCAGCTTTTTTTACTGTACAAATATTAGCAACCAACCAAACAGAACAGCAAAAAAGAAAGAAAGAAAGAAAAAGAAAAGAAAACAGCCTTTAACTAATGAAAAGGTGGGACAGAACACTCAACCGGGGTGTGTATGTCTTTTTGAGTTTCACAAACTGGATGTAACAATTGGTTATTCTGGATTGATAGACAATCACCCCAGCCAAGTCACTCAGATAGCACGTGAGGCTGTAAAGAAAATTCCAACACTGTTAATAGTTGTAGCTTTCAAAAAAAGTAGTCATACTAGTTTGAAAAAAAGTAGTCATGCTAGTTTGTGTAACCACATCAGACCAAATACAAATAAATAAATAAATAAATAAATAAATAAATAAATAAATAAATGAATAAATAAATAAAAATTTTGAAAGACAACAATTTTGTAGCAACTTAAACACTAACTACTATATTTTAACATACTTTTTCATGGATCAAGTCCACTTCCTTAGACATGAGAGTGAGACTATATGACTATCACATTTATACATGGCTCCATGACCAGGTGAGGATGCAGATAATGGACGAAGTAACAATGGTTCCCTTATTAACCGCCTGTAGTGTCACCTAAGTAGACTGACTTGTTTGTCAGTCTACTTATGTGACACTACAGGCTTCTTCCTTTATACTGCCTTGACTTGCATTCAGTCTTTTATTTCTGTATCATGTTGGCTTCAGTCTCATACTGTTCTGCTGTTTTATATGAACAAGTGGTCCTAGATCAAATGAAGTCTGAACTACCTCTTGAGGCAAAAATGTTGATATTTAGACTGTCCTACTTTGGGTACATCACGAGAAGGCAGGATTCTCTGTGAAAGGTAGAAGGCAGCAGGTAATAGGAAGACTAAATATGAGATGGACTGACTCCCTAAAGCAGTGGTTTTTAACCTTGGGTTACTCAGGTGTTTTTGAACTGCAACTCCCAGAAACCCCAGCCAGCACAGCTGGTGGTGAAGGCTTCTGGGAGTTCCAGTCCAAAAACACCTGAGTAACCCAAGGTTAAGAACCACAGCCCTAAAGGAAGCCAGAAGCTTGAGTCTACAAGAGCTGAGCCAGGACTATTGAGGACAGGACATTTCAAAGACAGCTCATTCATAGGGTCATCATAAATCAGAAGCTACTTGATGACATGTAAAAACAGCAACAGCAACAACAACCACAACAACAACATTATTATACCATTTTATTAGTGATACTACCCCTCTCTATTTGTCTTGATAGAAATTATGTTTTATCAGGTAGAAAATATATAACATATTTGCCCGTGTACACGGGGAGGGAAAGTATGAGTTTGTATATTTATTTAAAGAGTTTATGTTCCACTTTTTCACAACTCTCCATGCTGGCTTACAGAAAAATTAAAATTATAATAAATTGAAACCCAAATGGGAAGTCTTAACTCTATCTTATCTCATTTCACACATACATATACTCTTCAAGGCTCCTGTTTGGAGACTCAAGATCAATTCAGAGGTCCACATCCCTACATGTTTAGCTTGGCTCTACGTGTGCTCCAGGGTAGGCATGACCTATGACTGAATCATAAAATAATGGAGTTGGAAGGAGCCTATAAGGCCATTGAGTCCAATACCCTGCTCAATGAAGGAATCCAAATCAAAATATATCTGACAGATGGGTGTCTAGGCTTTGGAGCACTCATTACCACCAAGGTGATTGGTTCCATTGTCATACTGTTGTAACAGTTAGGATATTTTCCCTGATATTCAGCCAAAATCTGGCTTCCTGTAACTTGAGCCCGTTGTTACAGAATAGAGAATCCAGCATTATGAGTGGCCTCAGCATCCATGATTTTCATTTAATCTATGGTTTTTGTTGTTTCTTCTTTTCCAGTTGGGAAGACGTCACTGATCACAAGGTTCATGTATGACAGTTTCGACAACACGTACCAGGTGAGCTTCATTGCCTGTGATAATTCTGCACCCTAGGGTGTAGTCCTAGGGAAGAAGGTACATTTCCCAGTTTTATCTGGTACCAGTGTTGCAATTAAGACTGTATGCCAGGAGATGCCACTCACTGTTTTTACCCTTGTTAATATATATATTAACAAAGATAAAGATATATATTTATATCTGCTGAGATGTGGAGCTTGGAAAAAATTACTATTTAGACTGCAACACCCAAAATCCAACACTCTGCCCCCTGCACAGATGTATCAACTCACTTGGACTTATTTCTGAGTAGACATGGTAAGAGTACCACTTAAGAATCACTACTGTGTCAGTTCTGCATCTTTTAGAATGTGCTTTTCTCTGCATTCAGAGCCTCTCTGGGTACAGAACCTGGAAATAGATTTGGCATATTCAGTGGCGTTCAAATAAGATTTTTTCCCCATTACTCAATAAGAGAGCAGATGGTCTCAATACAGTATGCCATGCAGCCTATGCTGAGGTTCCTAAACTACCCTCCTGCCTTAAATGCAGCTGGAGAATGTTGATATAAATGTTGAAATGAATAAGATTCAATTGCCAGTCCAGTCATCTCATGTGGATAGAATGGGGTAGATTACTTTGACTTGTTCCTCAACTCCGGCAGCAAAATGGCATGTTTCTCTTGTGCTTTCTTTGCTTTAGTGGCTCATGAGGAGAGAGTCTCTCTAACTTGTTGAGTAGCAGATCTGACTGATTGCCATGCTTGAGTCTTGGTTGTTGTCTACCAGAGCTGTCTCCTGGCTTGAGGAAATACTGGGAAAAGAATTTTCTGGTGTGATCTCTGCATTGTTTATGGCCAGTGCCAAAGGCCAAACTATACATTGCAGATAATCTGTCATTCTGCTACTCAACACCACAAAGGTTGAATTAATCTAATTAATGTCTGAACATTGCTTTCCCCCAGGAATCTTGGGAGTTATAGTTGAAGGTTGGCTGTGAGGGATAAGAATCTGTCACGAACAAATGTCTGGATCTGTGCAATCTAGTGTACATAGGATTACCTGAGCAGAGCCCTGATTGTTATCCTGATTCAATTCTGATAGATATTTGTAGAACAGATCTGTTTTCAGGTAGCAAGGAGAATTATACCCATATCACTAAGGATTAGCAAGAAACAAGGGTTGGTTTTCCTCGTCTAGTCTGGGGAGTGAGGTGAGCAACATATGCTTAAATGGGAGGATGTTATCACAGCAGATAAATGCAGAGTGGTCTTAAATGCTCTAGGCATCTCTGTGATTCATTTTTGTCCATCCTTGAGCTAGAAAGCATGCATGTTCATCTCCCACAAGGAGGGAGATGAGGCATTTCTGTTGCATTGTGCTTACCCTTTACAACGTGAAAAAGAGTGTGTTTCAGCCAGCTGGAAGGCTATTGGTTTTCAGCATTCATTTCCTGTGCCATATTAAGCTTAAAGAGCAACCAGACTCAATCAGTGTTTCAATATAGAGAAGTAAGCAGGCTCTCTTTTCACCTTCTGACAAGCAATTTAAAATGCAACATGGGAACACCACTGCATGTACACACTGTTCAATTGATCCTCTCATTAAATTCTGCCTCAGTTTGCATGATAGCTTTTCTGGGTACTACATAGCCAAAGCATTATATTTGCTTTCATTGTTTTTTTTTTTAATTCCTTCCTGACCGCTTAGATCAGTCGCTAAAGCATAAGAAAGAAGCAGTGAACAAGAATCAGTTTTTACTCTTATGATTAAACCTGTTTAGGCACAGTACAAATTTAGTCTTAAAAGTTCCTTCCTATAAACAAATAGATCTTGTTCATAGACCATTAACATGTCAAGAAAAAGGCTAGGATCATTGTGACAATTTTGCATGTAATAGGCACCGGAGGTGTTTCACATGTACAAATACATTCTGGTGTTAAGTGCTCTAATCCTAGAAATACTATGCTGTATGCTTCACTGTTTTTATGCATTCATACACACAGAGAGAGCTCTCTCTTGGTTTAGTTTCTCTGTTGTGTGTCTGGCAACTACACTTCTTTCCTCTTTCTTGGTTTACCATAACAGAGGAAGAAATATTGAGTCTGGATGCTACCTTCACTGACTGGGCTTCTACATTTCTGTATATAAGGCAGGCCCTCTTATTTTTCACCAACATCTTGGTGGCTATAACCGAAGAAATTTTATGAAGCATGACTGTGTAGAATGTACAGTACATTCCTCATTTTCACAAAATCCAAAACTAGTCTTTTCCTAATACATTCCTCATTTTCACAAAATCCAAAACAAGCCTTTTCCTAACTTTGCTCTAGCTCACTTAGTAAGTCAGACTAGACAAGTATCCAATCGCAGTGCCTGAAAAATACCCAGATGAGTGCGGTTGCACCTACTGATTAAAAACAAAAAGTTGTACTCTTTAAAAATTACAGCAAAAGGATCGGCTTCTTAAGATTTTGAAACCCTTATGCTGTCTCATTCCTTCATTGAGCAGGGAGTTGGACTTGATGGTCTTATAGGTCTCTTCCAACTCAATGATTCTATGATTCAAAAAAAAAATTCTTCTCTCTTTTTCCTCAACTTCTTATTTCTCGCTGGTGTTTCTCTGACCTCACCATGGTGGTTGTTGCCTTCAGTCCTGTTTCCCCCTATCCTTACCAGGCAGCAGGACCTGTAGCCCTGCAGAAGGAAAGACTTACATGGAGAAGACAGCAGGCCTCATGGAGAAATGTACATCTCAGGCTTTGAGCTTTGTCTTTGGTAGCTAGGAAAGGTTAGAGAAGTCTGCCAGTAATACCTAGAGATAATATTGCAGGGTTACATGGAGAAGACAGCAGGCCTCATGGAGAAATGTACATCTCAGGCTTTGAGCTTTGTCTTTGGTAGCTAGGAAAGGTTAGAGAAGTCTGCCAGTAGTACCTAGAGATAATATTGCAGGATACAGACAAGTTTAAATTAATTAATTTATGAAAACTTACAGGGTAATCCTGAGATACATACCCTTAGGGTACCATGAGTGTGTGTGTCAAGTTTCAGAAGTCTAGTTTTCAAGCTGTTGCAGCTGTGGCAGACACACACATGCATACACACACACACACATATGAACACATTCTGTCTACTATAAGAAAACTAAGAGGAGGTACCAAGTGAAACCACTAGTTTTCGCTTGGTAACCATGTCGTTCTGATAAAGAGGTAGTGGCATACCCTTTTAGAATAAAAGGGCAATTAGACATGGAGTGAAATAAAATGATTTTGAATCCCTACAGCTCAGGGCACGCAAGCTTACTGCTCATTAAGTTTGTTAACGCAGATGAATAATACAGAAACTTAGTCAGGAAAGAAGAAGAATAAATAAGGACACACAACAATGGGCTCCAGTTAAAGGAAGCCAGATTTCAGTTGAATATCAGGAAAACCTTCCTAACTGTTAGAGCAGTATGACAATGGAACCAGTTACCTCGGGAGTTGGTGAGTGCTCCAACACTGGAGGCATTCCAAAAAATTTTAGATAATCACCTGGAATGATCTGCTTTGATTGTATTCCTGCGCTGAGCAGGGGATTGGACTTGATGGCCTTGTAGGCCCCCTTCCAACTTAACTTTTCTGTGATTTCTATGAAAATGATTCTGACTTCATGCATTAGTCTTATATGGGATAATAGATTAAATGTTATATGATATAAGAAATCAGTAGTAAAATGTAATTTGTTTCAGTGGTACAGATACACATTATATTTGCATATACTAATTTGTATTCCCACCAACCTAGTGGTTCAAAAGCATACAAATGTGAGTAGATAAATAGGGAGGACCTCGGTGGGAAGGTAATGGTGTTCCGTGTCTAAGTCGCACTGGCCACGTGACCACGGAAGATTGTCTTTGGACAAACGCTGGTTCTATGGCTTGGAGACGGGGATGAGCACCGCCCCCTAGAGTCGAACACGACTAGACAAAAATTGTCAAGGGGAACCTTTACCTTTACCCAATTTGTATAGACATAAATTTAGAAAAAAAATCCAGAAATGTACTTAGAAATACGATGCAGAGGAGTGAGACCTCCTTGTCATAACACTCTTTGTATCACTATGCACTCCGTCATGTGACCATCAACGTTTCCTGCAGCTTATGATTGCTGGTACACGTAGCCAATTAAATGACTCCCTCTTGGAATCCAGCTCTTGGTTTACTAGCAGTTCCACTCGTGTGTGCATTGGATTTTGTCAGAGACTTTCTTGTAGTCAGTAAAACAAGTGTATGTAACCATATTCATGGCATGGCATTTGCCTTTTCCCAGCTCCCGCCAACCAAGCAATTTGAAAGCATGCAAATGCGAGTAGATAAATAGGGACCACCTCAGTGGGAAGGTAACAGCTACGTAGCCAATTAAATGACTCCCTCTTGGAATCCAGCTCTTGGTTTACTAGCAGTTCCACTCATGTGTGCATTGGATTTTGTCAGAGACTTTCTTGTAGTCATTAAAACAAGCGTATGTAACCATATTCATGGCATGGCATTTGCCTTCAGGTACATGTAGGCAAAATTGGGTTTCCCTGGTTTTAAGTTGTGCTCTGAGGACATCTTTAAAGAAGCAGTTTCTGATTCAAATGATGGTGCTATTGTTAGTGCAGAGGCTATCAGCAATGTACAATATGCAGGTGATGCAGCATTATCAGCTGTTAGATAGTCTGTAGCGTTCGCTCAATAAAGTCAATGAAGAAAGTAATAAATGTGGTCTAAAAATAAACATTGAGAAAACCAAGCTCTTGCTAATCAGTAAAAAGCAAGCAATGCAAGAAAAGCAGTTAAAGACCATAAATAAAAGTATGGTGTTTGTTAGCAAACATAAGTACCTTAGAACCTTGTTGAATGAACCTTGGGATCATAGCTACCCAATAAGAATCAGCCTAGAGCTGTATTCCAGAACAGGTTCCTTGAAGACTGATATGCAAATATTAAATGATCTTTGTGAATGTGCATAGTATGGTGTTATGTATTCTCAGTTT